TCCCTGTATAAAACACTGACCCTGCAAACCCCAGGTTTGCAATTTATTAACAAGGAAATTTACATGTCATTGTTTGTAAAAGTAACTTCACAACCAAAAAGCCTATCATTCAGGTTTGAAATCAATTACAGTCAACATACAATGGATTACTCTGCAGCCATTGAATGGAAAGAAATAGAACAGTGTGCCTGATATTGAATGATTTCTCAGGTAGAGTTTAAATGAAAAAAAAAAATCAAGGGGCGTGACTGTATGTATAATATGCGCATTTGCTGGGGGGAAAAGGGCTAAACTGAAAGTAAGTACTTGTATAAACAAATTTTTTAAAAGGAAAGCAGAGATGCTTTTGCATAGTTGTCTGTGAGGAGGGACACTGAGGGGTCTAGTGTGTCTGTGGGTTTTTTTTTTTTTTAACATTTGTGTTTGTTATTTTTTTCCACAAAAACATCTAATTAAAAAAAGTGAGCATATTTTTGCACAGATGTCCAATAAATGATCTATAATTTGGAAGGGAGTGAAGATTTTCTCTTCTTTATAAAAAAATTGGTTTTACTGAATGTGAAATAGGTACAAAAGAAAATTTATATAGTGTGTATAAGCTATAAAGAGTAAGTAACTATGCAACAAACGCTTTTAGGGGTATAAGTAATGGAGCATTTCTTTTGAAGCCCCTTATATATTCCTTCCTAATTCCATCTCCTTTCTTTTCCCTCTTGGAGAAGTGATTGATTACTTTTGCCAATTTTATTTTACTTACTTCTTTGCTTTTCATTTTTTTTATCACTTAAATTTATTTCTCTAAGCAATGTATTATTTAGTGCTTTCTTGTAAACTGCATAGAAGGATTATATTGCTTGTATTCTTCTTTAACTTGCTCTTTTCACTTAACATTATGTTCCTGAGATACATCTGTTGATACATCTGTAGTTCATTGAGATTTACTGCTCTACAGTAACCCATTGTGTGAGTGTACAGTTAATCACTCTGCTATTGATAGACATATGGCTGCTATGCATATGCTGTACGAGCCTTCTGGTGCCCATGTCCAAGAGTTTATTAGGCCATTTACCTAGAAATAGCATTTGTGAATCACTGGCTAAACACATCCGTGGCTTCCAAGAAAATGCCAGATTATTCTTAAAATTGTTGTAGTAATTTTTGTTTCCATCGACATTGTCTAAGAGTTCCAATACTTGATACTGGATTTTTCAATTTTTGCCAATTGCTCAGTATGATTGAGCATCTTATGTTTATTGGCCACTAATGTTTATTTTCTCTGAATTATGTTTTAACAGGTTTCACCATTTTTACATTGAGTTGTTTGTCTTTTAACTTACTGGTTTCACTGGAGTTCTTCACATAGTCTAATACTAACTATATAACTCTCGGTTACATGCATTACACATTTTCTCTCCACTTGTGGCTTGGCAAATAAAATGTTTACTTCCATCATTTTAAAACCTTTTTATTATGGGAATTTTTAAAATATTTAAAAAGAAAAGAATAGTTTAACTAACCCCTGCACATCCAGCACTTAACTTCAACGCTTATCAACGTTGTGCCAATCTTTTTTTTTTTTTTTAATTTTTTTTTTTTTAACGTTTTATTTATTTTTGAGACAGGGGGAGACAGAGCATGAACGAGGGAGGGTCAGAGAGAGGGAGACACAGAATCTGAAACAGGCTCCAGGCTCTGAGCTGTCAGCACAGAGCCCAACGCAGGGCTCGAACTCACAGACCACGAGATCATGACCTGAGCCGAAGTCGGCCGCTCAACCGACTGAGCCACCCAGGCGCCCCCAACATTGTGCCAATCTTAATTTGTCCATTTCTTGTCCTGAGAAGGAGGTCACAGACATTCTGTCATTTTTTTTCCTGTAAATACTTCAGGATGCATGACTGATTTGATAAGAGTTTAAAAAGAAATACCACCATACTATTATCACATCTGACAAAGTTAATAATTCCTTGATCTTCAACTTTTGCTAATTGTCTTAGACATGTCTTTTTATGGGGTGCCTGCGTGGCTCAGTTGGTTAAGCAGCCGACTTCAGCTCAGGTCATGATCTCACAGTCCATGAGTTCGAGCCATGCATCAGGCTCTGTGCTGCCAGCTCTAAGCCTAGAGTCTGCTTCAGATTCTGTCTCCCTCTCTCTCTACCCTTACCCCAACTCACGTTCTGTCTCTCTCTCTCAAAAGTAAATAAACATTAAAAAAAATTAAAAGAAAAAAAAGAGAAATGTTTTTTTATAATTGGTTTGCTAGAATCAGGATCCAAACAAAGGCCGCAAGTTGTGTTTAGTCTTTTTTTGGCCTCAAAAGTCAGCTAAGTCTCTTAGTCTCTTTTATTCCGTAATGTTTGATACTACTTCTCTGTCAAAAGTGCTTTGTACATGTGTTATTTTGTGTTTTTATTTGTGCTTTTTTTTCTTTTTTTGGTGTAAAAATTTTAAAAACTATTAACTGATGCAGTTGAATATAGAAATTTTTCCTACTAGTTGATGCTTTTGGGTCTTGTTTAATAAATTCTATTCTCTACAGTTTTCTTAATGGGTTTGGCAGTTTTGCCTTTTAAGTTTTGAATTCGCAAGGATTTAATTCTGTATGTAGTGGGAGGTTGGGATCCAGTTTTAATCTTGTCTGTGTGGATACTTGGTTGTCAGAGCCCTGGTGATCTTTACAGTACCACCATCTGTGGCACCAGCCCTTTCAGAAGTCAAGTTCTCGTGCATATGCGTGTCTGCTCCTGTGCTCTCGATTCTGATTTTGGGCCTACTTGTCACCACAGTGTCCTGATTACTAAAGTTTTATAATATTTCTCACTACTTGGTTAGGTGAGTCCTCCCTCCTTGCTCTTCAAGATTATCTTTGCAACCACTGGCCCTTGATGCATCTATATACATTTTAAAACCTGCTTGTCCAGTTACACACATACACATGCACAATTATTATTTTTATTGGAATTACATTGGATTTGGTGAGAATTTCCTCCTTATAATATTGAATCTTTTTTTAAAAAAAATATTGAATCTTCTTGTTCATGAACTTGGTGCATCTCTCCTATTTAAGGCCTGTATCTTTTCTTACGGCATCTCCCTATTAAAATTATGATACACCAATGTAGAAGAAAAAGAATTTTGCACCTGAAACTAGTGTAACATTGTATGTCAACTATAAAAAAAAATAAATCTGAAAAAGAGAAAAAGAGAATCTGCCTGTACCTCACACCATACACAAAAATTAATTTAAGATGGATCATGGACCTCAAGATAAAAGCTAAAAGTATAAAACGTTTAGAGAAAAACGGAATATCTTTGTGATATTGGGATAGGCAAAGATTCCTTAAGCCATAGAAAGCATGAATCATAAAAGAAAAAAATTGATTCAGTTATTGCTCTGAAAACTTCTACTCATCAAAAGACATTATTAAAATAAATTGGCAAGCCACAAACTAAGAAAAAGTACATGTAATGCACTTGTATGGCAAAAGAAACAAGCATCCTAATATAAAAATAGACAAAAATCTTGGATACTTGACAAAAGACCATGTCAATAGCCAAAGCACATAAAGAGTGTTCAGTATCATCATTAGTCATCAAGGAAATGTAAGTCAAAGTCTCAGGGATATTCCACTATATACCGGCTAGGATGGCTAATGTGAAAAAAAAGAAAGACAACAGCAAAAGTTGGAAAGGATGTAGAGCCATTAGAACTCTTGTTTATTGTTGATGGGAATATAAAATGCTATAATTATTTTGGAAAACTGTCAGTTTGGAAAACTGTCCTAGAATGTTAGATATGCTGAAATTTTATTTTCAGATATTTATTCAAGGGAAATGAAAACAGATGTTGACAAAAGCCTTGTATAAGAATGTTCCTAGCAGCTTTATTCATAATAGCCTACAAATGGAAATAGCCCATTTCTGTTGAGAGGAGAATAGGTAAACAAACCTGTATATTCATACAACGGAATACTACTCAACAAAAAAAGAATCATACAATTGTTGCATCAAATACCATGGATAAACTTTATGCTGACTGAAAAAGGCCTCAGACGCAAAAAACTTAGGTTATGTATTACTACATTTATACGAAATTCTAGAATAGACAAAACCAAGTTGTAATAGAAATCAAATTATTGGTTGTTTTGGGTATTGAGAGTTGACTGGGAGAGGGCACAAGCTAACTTTCTGAGATGATGGAAATTTTATGAGTCTTCATAGAAGTGTGGGTTACATGAGTATAAGCATTTGTGAAACCCGATTGAATGATCTTGTCAGAATTCAAGAGTATAAAGATGGAAAGGTAATCCTCACAGGAGTCAGCTGGGATTGGGTATCCAGAACCATACACACCAAGTCTGTGCTTCTGATACCCATACTCCGGACCAGTGGTTTTCAACTGGGGACCATTTTGCCCCTCAGGATACATTTCACATTGTCCAGAGACATTTCTGATTGTCATAACTGGGCGGGGGTGAGGCGGTATTGTATTACTGGTATTTGGTGGGTAGAAGCCATGGAGGCTGCTAAACATGCTACCGTCACATGACAGTACCCCACAACAAAAAATTGTCTGGTCCAAAATGTCACTGGTGCCAGCTTGGAGAAACCTGTTCTAGATCTGTCCTTATTATGGAAGCCAAGTCAACCTCAGCCAACCAGGTGTTGACTCTATTCATAGTCCACATCAGTTGTGGAAACAGCATTTGCACAAATTACCTATTTCTTCCCCAACAGAATTTAATATCAAATATTTGTGAATATACATAATCTTAAATTTTGAGAGAAAAGTCCATGTGTTAAGAACACTTCCAAAATCAAAATTAAATGTTTTGTTTGATTGTTAAATTCTTAAGGTAAGGTTTTGTTCTTAACTTTTGTTTCATTAAATATTCACATGCATGATCTTGGTTATCTTTCTTTAAATAGAATAAAAAAACTTTATCATTAAATCAGAGGAAATAAATGATAGTAATTTCTTTTTTCTTCCCTCTACAGAATGACAGGAAGCGAATTTTTTTCTCGTTTCCCAGAACTCTATCCTTTTCTTCTCCAGCAGTTGGAAGCTGTAGCTAATACTGTGGACAGGTAAGAGAATAGGGTGGGACACAGTAAGATCAAGGAAGTGAATTACTTCACTCATCGAGATTTTTTCCCTCCAGGCAACAGTTTTTAATCCCCTCCTTCCTTGTAACATAGATGGATTTTTTAAAACTACTTCTTTATTACATCATGTTGCCAGATTCTCTACAGTACTCCTGTACCTGAAAAGTTGTATAAAATCCTGTTTTTATACTATATTTTATATTTTTAAAATCCTGTTTTATATTGTCTTATCAAATATAATACTGTTTTTTCAGGAACCAGCTTCTTAGAAGCACATGGTGATTTCTTCTAGAAATAATTTTCTTCCCATGATATTTAAAAATCTATGTGTTTACAAATGGCCAATAAACACATGGAAAGATGCTCAGCATCACTGGTTATCTAGGAAATGCAAACCAAAACCTCAGTGAGATGCCCCTTCACACCGGGCAGGATGGTACTATCAAAAAGGGGGGTGGGGTGCCTGGGTGGCACAGTTAGTTAAGTGTCCGACTTTGGCTTGGGTCATGATCTCACGGTTGGTGGGTTCAAGCCCCACATCGGGCTCTGTGCTGACAGCTCAGAGCCTGGAGCCTGCTTCAGATTCTGTCTCCCTCTCTCTCTGCCCCTCCCCTGCTCGTGCTCTCTCTTTCTCTCTCTCTTTCTCTCTCTCTCAAAATAAATAAATAAACTTAAAAATTTTAAAAAAAGTTAAAAAAAATAAAAATCTGTGTGTTTACGTACTGAGTTTGCTGTCACAAACACCTGCCATTTTTTTCTTACTGGCCTGCTACAGTTGACCATTGTGACCTTAAGCAAATAGCTGACTAATCTGGTCACCTGTGATCAGAAATGGTACCAGCCCACCTGAGCAAAGGTGGCCAGTGACCCTGGAAACATAAAATAAAGCCATTCAGAGGGCTTCCAGTCCGATCAGGGCAGATAGCAAAGTTTACCATTGTGCTTTCAATCACATTCTGTACTGATGGTGGAATTGTTAGAATGGACATCTTAGAACATGGGCTTTTTTATTCTTCTAGCAGTGTTTGCACTTGATATGAATTCATACTAATTATCCGTAATGGGAAAGCAAAGTAACATCAATGAATTTTACTTCTGTTTATGATACATTTCCTCACATGAGTAATTTGTACAGACAGGCTTTTCTGGCCCCAGTAAGTGACTGTTCAAGCTTTCATAAGTACATTTGGCTGTTGAACGTTTCACATTGCATATTCTGGAACAGCCACCTCTCTACTGTATGAACAGCTCAAATCAAAACACAGACACAAATTAACAGTTAGCTTTGAGAAGAGTCGTGTGCAAAAGCCCAAACCATGGCTTTGCCGGTAGCTCTTCCTTATTTGCACATTAGGAAAACATGAGGTAAACGGAGGGAAAAGAAGGAAAGCTATCTTCTGATCATAGAGAGTCTCACTTGATATTCAGAATTATTTAATGAGAAAAATGTTTGAAGAAAGTACTGCACCTCTTAAATTTTAAATATTTTATGTACAATAATTTCTTTCAGTGATGCAGGAGAACTAAACCGTCATCCAAGCATGTTTCTCTTACTGCTGGTGTTGGGGAGACTCTACCCTTCCCCGATGGACGGCACCTATTCCACTCTCAGCATGGCACCTTTCATTCCCTTCATTATGAGGTAGCATGTGTTTCCTGGAAATAATGGGGTGGGTATGGGGGCCTTATGGGGTATTATAACTTGTTCTTATTTCAGAAACTAT